GAGAGAGAGAGAGAGGAAAAACACAGCACGGCCCGGAAAAAGCGAAGAGCAATGAGTCGGGAGCGGGAAGAAGAGGGTCGAGGAGGAGGAGGCTGATGGGCAGGCCGGGGGTGGTGGGAAAAGGGAGGGGCGGCCAGGCCAGGCTTTTTTTTCTCGCTTCCACTTTCCATCTTTTCCCTTCCCCGTCCCCCCGCTTCGGGGCGGATCCCCCCTGAAAGGGCTCTCCCTTGCCCGAGGGGCCCCCCAGCACTTGAGGGACGGCGCTTGGTCGGCTCTTTTGGGACCCGCGTCGGGTTCATCGGGTTCAGTGGGGCGTTGGGGTGGTTTTCTTCTTCGGAAGGCTGGCCAGCTCCGGATATCACATGGATACAAGGTCCAGGATGGCTTTGTTGACGATTTGCTCGTCTCTAGAATAGTTTGTAAGTCGAGTGCGGAGAGCGGCACTTTTTTTTTTTTTTTTTTTTTGGCGACGGGCGGATTCGGTAGTGGACGAGAAACAAACGTATGAGAAGTGACGGGCACAGAAAGAATGCTCTGGTGAGATGACGGCACGTGTTGGCTACTAGGAGGTACTGCAAAGAGGCGGGCAACTCTCGTGCGACACGAGAATGGGAGAGGTACTGTGTAGTAAGCTAGGAAACCCTTGGTTGGTTTACAGCATGGGTTAAACCATTGTCGTACCGCGTACAGAGTATAGTGTACGCTTCGTAGAGAAACAAGAACAAAAAAAAAATCTCCGGACCAAGGTTCGGCCACATGAGAGGGGTTTGTGTTGCCATCCACAGGCAGTGTCCTCTCCTCGTACCTGACATGATAGCCTGCTGTGTGTATACGGGCACGACAGGCTAGCGCACTGTTGGTGGTGCCAGGGCAATCGCGCTGCTGTGAGATACGGATCATGTCTGCCGCCCCTCGCTTTTTTTTTCTTTTTTTTTGCTGTACTGTAGCGTCCAGTCGGGACCGGGGCGGGGGTGGTGGTGGTTGTTAGCGAGGCAGCGGTGCGACGGTGGTGAGCATGGGCGACGGACCGACCGTCAGCTCACGCTCCAGGGCCGCCGAGAAAGGTATCGCGAGGTACCTACCTACCTCTGTCGCATGCGGGCGGGCATGCGACAGAGGGGCCCGGCTCTCCCTGTCTGTCTCTTTGTTGTTTGTGCCAGCCACAGCAAGCGCGGGCGGCCAGACGCATACTGGTGGAGCGCAACTCGCACACCCCCCTACCCTGTACTGCACGCTACTACCTCCAAGCGGACGGATGACAGGCTAGCTCGGTGGCTTTTCTCGTCTCCGCTCTCTCTCTTCCCCTCCTCCCTCGACGCTAAGGCAAGCCACAGAAAAAATGCGCAAAGATCGTAGGATCGCAGGATCGCACCAAACAGATTCCCTTCTGCCCTCGGTGCCAACCTTAACCAACTCCCGCGCGCCCGGCCTAACCAGAAAGACCAGAATCACCATTAGCAGCAGGCACACACACACACACACACACCCTCTCCCCCCACGCCTTCCAACGACCCGCTGGCACGTGAATCCTCGGCGCTTCAATGGTGGTAATCTCCCTCCCCTGGGCGGGCGTTTTTTTAGCGCTTGCTCGTTTTCATTCACCGAAGGACCCATTTGCAACCCCACGCTGGATGCTAGGGGGGTGTGTGACTTTTTTCTCGTCACTCTGCCGCCCACTTTTTAGCTCCCGCAGCAAGCAAGCAAGCAAGCAAGCAAAAGGTACCACCCACCACCATTCGCTTCTCCCCCCTCCCCTCTCCTCTATCGCCCGTGTGTGTGTGTGTGTGTGTGTGTTCGCTCCCCCGTGATATCACCGTGGTGCTAATCGCGCCCAAAGCGCACGGCTGTTTTTCCATTAAGACTCTGGCGTAAACTCAATCGCGCCTCGTCTGCGACAAAACCGGTTGAGCACGTCGTCATTCAGCCCTGGAAAAACGAGCGGGCGTCACCCCTGCTGCAGGGGTTCTTTTCACATGTACACAAAGGGCGACCTATTCCCGGCCTCTTCTCTCAAGATATTCGGTCCCCAACAAAAGGAGAGGAGGTAAGAAAAAGGACGATGCCAAGAATCCGTATTGCTACTATTAATCTTGCATTTCCTGTCTTTCTGACTCGATATTCTCCGTCTTTCCTTCTTTTTGCTTCTGTCTTGTTTTCCGGGTCCAGCCGAGTCCAGGCTAGGATTGGGTGTCAAGCGGTGTGCCATGATGCCAGTGCAGAAATTGATCTCCCTCCTTTTCGGTTTCTATAAATTGCCAGAGACGGTGACGGGGCTGCATCCCGCTAGCTAAAATGCTACGAGTCCCGTGTCTATCTTGGTTCGACGTCGTCGACTTTTCTGTAAATGAAGCAGCCCACACAGCGGGCTCGCAGACGTGGCTTTGCTTGGGCCATCTGATGTGATCTACTCTCCTCTGATCCTCTCCTCTGATCCTCTCCTCTGATCCTCCCACGCCCCCCATCAGATCAGACTGGAGAGCACGCGGGGAAGGCACGTCGACCCAAGATTGATCTCCTGCTCTCGCTCATCTCCCCAGGTTTTACCTCGGCTCCTGGGACGCGCCAATCTCTCCGTCGTAGTTCTCATTACGAGATATTTTGTCTCGACAGCATGGAGACGCGGGGAAGGCGGTCGGTCGTTTCGATTAGGGCCCAACATTTTGCCTCCATATGCTTGTTTTTTTCTCCTTCTCTCGCTCTCTCTCCTCTCCCTCTCGCCTTGCTGGCGCCCGGGGAAGGCTCCAGATATGTCGTTGCAGGCATCGGGAATGATTCCGCTTGGGGATTAGCGCGGGCAGGCCACAGGCCACACAGCGCAGGTAGCGCGCTGGCGCAGCAGGAAAAGGGCCCCACCCACCCCTCCGTCTCACTAAGCCTGACGCCTCGTGCGCTAGAAGGGCTAGAGAAGGCTGCATGGAAGCTTTTTATTCTTTTTTATTTCACTTTTTGTCTTTCCTTTTTTTCAGACCCCACAATGCCCACCCACACCACACCCCCTTCAGCTTTCAAGAAGCCGCAAAGCAACTGGGATTTGATTCAGTGAGTGCGTCCCTCCTAAAAAAAAGCCATTGCCGACGAGGGAAGATGGGTGTGTCGATCCCGTCCGTCGTGCTGCCCTCCAATTGGACCGCGTTGCCCGCCCTCCCCGGACGAGGGCAAGACACCACAACAGAGGTGTGAGAGAGAGCCTGGCTGGCTGGCGTCGGCCTCCGTCCATATCTTGGGTTCACTGTCCTTGGTCAGCCACACATGTATCTCTCTTCCTTTTCTGCGTCTTTGCATATTCACCCCCTGGCTTGATGGCCAGTTGGTACCTTGAGGTACAGCAGCTGCATCTTGCATCATCTGTATCTTGATGTGCACCGTCAACTCTGCCGGGTGGCTTTGCTTTCCACTCTCCTCCTCCTCCCTCCCCCAATGTCTTGCGGTTTGCAGCAGCCGCATCCTTCCAATCGGATCCCGCCAGGCTGCAGGCTCGCGTAGCTCTAGCAGTCGCCCACTCCACCACCACCACCCACACCACCAACACACACACACACACAACCGTGGGCTGGGAGGGGACGCTAGGAGACGCTAGGAGGTAGGTACCGCAGTACGGCCTCCTGCTTCCCTTTTCTCCTCCTCTCTGTCTTCCTCTTTCCTTGTCCTCCTCCTGCCCAGTCGTTTGCTGGCTGGCTGTCGTTACCATGACCCGGCTATTTGCTCCAAGACGTTTCCTCTCACCGCCTCCCCTTTCCAAGGGAATCCCGGAGATTTGCCCGTCGCCCCCCTCTCCGGGTCTTCACCAGTCGCGTGCCAACGATTATGGCTCGGTCCAAATGGCCCGAACGGCCTGCCACACACACTTATTATCCCCCATCTGTACTAGTGGGAAAAGACAACAACAAGACGGCCTGGGCCGGCTGACGACAGGTCTGTGATTGGCTCCAGCGCTCACAAATTTGGGGGGTTAGGATCCAGGGCTTGGTTCCAATCGAGTCTTGTGGTGCAAGATCGAGATCCCCACGCCCCGCTGGCTGATTCGCCAGCAATAGAAACCCGTGCAATTTAACTGGGGCCTCTCTTCTCCCGCTGGCGCTGGCCTAGTCGCTTTCGACGTAACGTTGCGTTACATCCCCTCTTTTTTTGTTCGCTTTCCCTGCTGGCCAACCGACCGTTTGCTGCCTCGCTAGCTGCAAGACCCTGGGGAGCCTCGAGGGGGCTGACTAGGCGGGCGGCCGAGAGCGAGAAAGAAAGAAAAAAAAAGACGCGCTAGCGAGGGACTGCTGCTACCTACCGCGCACTTGCATGCCTGCGAATCTGCGAATATGCACTCGCCGTACGAGCTGCAGGCTCGTCGGGATCCTTCTGAGGGGGTCTGTGCATTATGTCGTTCGCCTGTGGGCGTATCGAGTATTGCCACTCTCTCTCTCGCGCAAAGGGGGTAGGAGGCAAGCTTCCATCAGGCAAGGGAACCGCAGCCCGCAGCTGACCATGAAGCCATCGCCATCGCCATGCCCATGCCATCGCTTTTCCTTGGTGGCTGGATGGCATCCGTCCCAGAGAACTGACTATCTGGTCAGCTTTTTTTTTATTTTTATATTGCTCCGCGGTCATCTGTCCATCCGCAGTAACCCACCTACCCGACTAGCTTCCATATCTTGCATGTCCTCTTTGCACATGTCCACGCGGGTGCGAGGTAGGTATCACACCGATGACCCTGTAGATACATCAGATCTTCTCGGACCCGTGGCGTTCCTCGCTCCCCTCGCCACATGTGGGATGCTGCAGGGCGGTAGGTAGGACGAGCCGCTGTCAAAAATAGCAAAAAGAAGAGAAAAAAAATCAAAAATCGGCACGCCTTGGCCAAGCTCCTCCCTCGCATATGTATGTCAATGTCCACAGGGCTCTCTCTCGCATCATAACCAACGAACTGCCTTGCCCACCGTCCCCGGGTCTGCGGAACCCTGGCTGCCCACCCTGAGGGGTCTGCGGCACGGAAAGGCTTGGTTGGCGCGGGTTTAGACTTTGCGGCCTTTTTGTACTCGGGGAGGGGGTGGCGGTGGTAGGAGCGAGGCAAAAAAAAAAAAAGTCCGTACAGAGAGCCACGAAAGGTCAACTGAGGTTCCGGACTGCTGGCCTGGGGCACAGCGGCTTGCCTCGCTGGCGGTTTCTTGGTCACTCGGGTGCTAATATATGATGCCACGCAGGCGGCAAAGACGGGGGTAGCACAGCATTGCCAGTGAGCCAGCCCGACTAGCCCAGTTGGTCCGCAGCCGCATCGTAAGAAAACGTTCTTCTTATTGCTGTTGGGGAAGGTCTGTGGCGGCACGGGATTCTCTCTACCCCGCCCTCGCCCCTTTTGCTATTAGACGGCAAAACACACACACACACACACACACGCACACGACTGCCCGCCCGCTGACCGGGATATGGACGGCCGACAGTGTTGGCCCCCCTCCATCCCTCGCTGTCCTGCATGTCTCTGCTCCTTACCTTCGCACGGGGCATGGTAAGCACGGGACGCAGCCGGGCGGCACACCGAGAGGCATCGTCCCTTTTTTTTTTTTTTCCCCCACCCGCCACCAGATCCTTCTTTGCTTTTTCTGTATGCGGTCAGCACTGGGCTTGCCTTGTCTCACCCGCGTCAACAACACAGAGTTTTGCCCATGCTCGGCTCAGGCTCCGCTGCGGTAGGCTGGGCCGAGAGGCTTTTGATGGGATCAAAGAGGTAAAATGGCTCTGGTCGGAGCTTTGCGGGCGGCTTAGGAAGCACCCCCCGGCCTCGTGCTGGATTTAGAGAGACTCGGGTTATGCCGAGGTCATGAGCAAGTCGCAATGCCTTTCACTTACTGAAAACTCTCAAGGCCGAGCACACTGAGGCAAAGCCGTCTAAAGCAGACACAGGAAGCGGGTAGAGAACCCGGATCCGCCGTCGCCGACGCGGCGACGGGCTGGGTGGAGGGAGGGCCAAAGTGAGCACGGTCCCCGTAAAGAGTGAGGCTCTTGTGTGTATAGTGCCGGTGCTAAATATAACCAGAAACTCCCGGTGGCCAGAGCGACTGGCAACAGCCTCGGTATGCCAGTGTCAACGGGGCCGGCAGCACAATGCACCATTCCCGGGCCGAGGGGCTTGGTATGCCGCCGGGCGCCGGGCACAAGCCTTTCTGCTTTTCGTCTATCGCCCACAACTCTCCTGTACTGCTATATTGACTCTCTCTAAGCCCATATGTGCCTTTCTGTATTTTCACTCCTACTCCAAAAAAAACAGTACCAAGGGAGAGACGAAAGCAAGTCTCGTATCATCGCTGTACGCGGGGCTAGAACCCCATCGCCCCTCTGGAAGCTCCGAGCTGCAAGCTGCAGACTCTGCAGCGATGTGGCCGTGACAGCGGTGGGACGGCGGGGCCCGCATGGTCTGGACTTTGTCCCACCCGTGCCTGCAATGGCAGGACGGCACGGGGTGGCTATCATTGCGTTGTGCTTGGCTAGAGCGTCCTACTATCTAGTCGCCCCCCGAGCCAGCTTGAGGGAGGCGTCCGTCGCAGCCGATGGGCGCTGTCGGGTGATGCAGGTTGCGCGCGGTTCGTCACCATCGCTGATAGGGGGAGATATCAGTTGTCCCCCCGCGACGGCCAAACCTTCTTCCAACCCATCTCGAGGCAATACAACTCACACCCGACGGTCGGACCACTGGCCCGACTCCGACGAGCTCATGTCTGCCTCCCAAGCCTTGAGGTCTGGCTGACCGGGGGTTTGGTTGTTGTTCGAGAAGGGGCCGGTTCGAGGGGGGCAAAAAACGCAAGCGATGCAACATTGCTGATCAGTATTGCTGAAGATCACTTCCTCTTGGACTCTTATGCGGTATCCGTCTGCTGCTGCTGCTGCTGCTTCTGCTGCTGCTGGGGGCGTGTGGGCATCAAGAAAGAAAGCGGGCTTTGGACCCTGATTTGCCCTGGGGAAAATGAGCCAATTGGGAGGTGATGTGCAGCAAATGGTACGCTCTATCGACTCCTGGTTACCTGCGTGTACATGGCAAGGTCGGACGAGCAGCGCCAAGAGTCTCTCGTCCCTTTTGGTACACATTTTTCTGCTTGTTCGTCTTTGTAGGGTTTTTACTACGACCTTACCGCGCGCTTTACTGAAAAAGCAAAAAAAAAAAGACCCAACTCGACCAAACCAGCATGTCCTCTGCTCTGCAGCTATACCCATTTGCATCACCACCGCAGGGTAACTGTTCCACTCGGACTGGGCCTTGCCTCTTCCTGTCGCCTGCCTCCTGCTGCTGGTGCTGCTGCTGCGGGGGGCGGGTGAGGACAAGATGCGGGGGAGCGTTCGACAGGCTGGTAACCAGAATGGATCCAGGTCTGCTACCCCTCACCGAGGGTTGTCCGACCAAAGAACCAGAATAATGCTCACGGATACGACAAATATGCGTACATGCCTAGGTAAACATGCAGTGCAAGCTCGTTTAGATCCTTGTCCGTGTGCTTGATGTTGTGATGTCGTCGCTCGGCTGTCAGCGGGCGGACAGCAAGGAGGGTTGTAATTCCCCTATTAGCAGTTATCACTCAAAGCACTTTGAATATCTATCTAGTTTGAAAAAAAGCCCGTATTTTCCAGCTCGAGGGGGGGGGGGGGGGGGGGGGTTGTTAGGACAAGACTGATACGCTTGTAGCCACCCACCACCCCACTCGACCGCCGCCGTCGGACACGCGCGTAAAGCGGAATCCCCACGTTGCGTTCTTTTCGGATAAGCTTTTCTTTTACGTTTGACACATAGATCCGACGGAGGACCCCCTTTCGGAACTCGGGCTGGTGCTCGGAGATGGTGCGGGGAAAAGGAGAGGAGACTCGCGGGGGCGCGCGCCCCGAGTTTGCCTGCCGGTGTCGGCTCGTGGGTCACCAAGTGACGTATATGCTCTCAATATGTGCCACGGTGATATAGAAATGACCTCGGAAAACAAACCTGACTGAAGGGAACATATTGAAGTCTCTTCCCTCACTGACAGAGATACCCAAGCGGGATCCAAAGGCACACTCGACAGCCGACGTCCCCTTCTTCAGCCAGACACTCCAATCGTCCAGAGCGTGCTGGGTACTCGTGCCAAGTCCCCGTGATAGATATCAAACAGACACGTGGGCGTCCGCCGCCACCATAAACCCACCCTCATAACCCTTTCTAAAAATGGCCCCTCCAGCCCTGGGCATCAAGGTCAACGAGCACGGCATCCCGAGCTTCGACGACCTCCCACTCCGGGCCGGCGACCCGCCCTCGTCGGCCTGGGGCCTGTACGGCGACTCGGACGAGCTCGGCACCCTCAACCGCCTGACCGACGAGCGCGTGGCGGCGGCGGCCAGGGACGAGATCAAGACGGGAGTGCGGTAGGCTGAGGGGTTCAACTTTTGATATTCCCAGAGATGGGGGAGGCTCAAATCATACACATCTAACGTGAGAACGTACACACACAAAAAAAAAGAATCTCCCTAAACTGGCCCCTCGGCGCCCAGAAAGCCACCCCCTTCTTCGACCGCCAGCCCTTCCGCCACCACATGTACGCAAAGGCGCCCCACACCGTCAATGACGACGTCTGGACGTTCAACTCGCAGGTGTCAAGCCAGTGGGACGGCCTGCGCCACTTTGGCTACCAGGCCGAGCGCCTCTTTTACAACGGCGTGACCATGGACCAGCTGCACTCCTCCGCCTCCTCCTCCTGCTCGCCCTCCACCGTCAACGGCATCCACGCCTGGGCCGAGCGCGGCATCGTCGGCCGCGGCATCCTCGTCGACTGGGAGGCCTGGCGCACCTCCCAGAACCTCCCCTTTGACCACTTTTCCGCCTCGGCCATCCCCCTGTCCGACCTGCTCGCCTGCCTCCGTTCCCAAGACAACACCGTCCCGAGATTCGGCGACATACTCATCGTGCGCTCGGGGTGGATGGCCGCGCTGGCCGCCAAGCCGGCAGACGAAATCGAGTCGCTGACGAGGCAGCACCCGCACACCTTTGGCGGCGTCGAGCAGTCCGAGGACGTGCTGCGCTGGGTCTGGGACAACTTCGCGGCCGTGGCGGGCGACCAGCCGTCGTTTGAGCGCTGGCCCAGCCCCGAGGGGTGGCTGCTGCACGAGCGCCTGCTCGCCGGCTTCGGCTGCCCCATCGGCGAGCTGTTCCACCTCGAGCGCCTGGCGGCCCACTGCAGGGAGGTGGGGAGGTGGTCCTTCTTCGTCGCGAGCGAGCCGTGCAACGTGGTCGGCGGCGTGGCCAGGTGAG